GTTTTCGGCCCAACTAAAGAAGTCTTAGTATATGTTTTCGGCCCAAAAGGCCTAATAAGAATGTTTTATGGCCCAAAGAACTAAGTTGAGGGCTTATTGGCCCACTAGGGCCCAATAAGAAGGGTTTGGTCCATTAAGAGTGTTTTAGCCCTAAAATGATGAGATGGAGTTTTGGGCCCACTATGACCTAATAAAGGTGTTCACATCTTAATCTAATTTTTGTCGGTTGTGACACTACCACCAACATGTAACATCTGAATCTTGAGGTACATTTTAATTTATTGAAGTTTGGATTTTTTGAGTTGCCACGACGTGGTGAAGGATCACCACGACGTGGCAAGACATTTTTGGTCACATACTTCTTTTGACCCGCCACAACGTGGTAGGTATAGGCCACAACGTGGCCGCTGCTGGAGGCCTAAACCCTAACTTTTCGGGTTTTGTACCCTATTTAAAGGAATGAGGAGGATAGGGTTTGCTCATCCTCAGCCTCCACCAACGTCCTTAACTCTAAAGAAACCCTAATTCATTTTCTTCCATTATTGAAGATTACTTTGGTGCTTTTGGAAGATTTTGAAGGAAGAAGAAAGAAGGAGCGATCCAAGAATCAACAAATAAGTTCCCATTCCCCTTCCTAGCACGTTTCTGGACCTTTGTAAGTGTCCAAGACTCCACCTTTATGTTGTTAGGTTGTTAGATCTTTAGTTTTGTCCCATTTCCTTCTTGTTTTTGTTAGTTGGGATAGTGAGATCTCATAAAGGTTGCAACTTTATGAATCTCTGGGTCATTTGGAGTAGTTGATGGTTTGGATATAAAGTATGGTTGGTTTTTGAACCATGCATGGGATTTTGGTAATAATTCTTATTTTTGCCTAATATGAACTCAAGACATACATTGGACATGCATGTCTATAAAGCACCAACTTTTAGGTTAGTTTTGGTGTTGGAAACTCTTATGGAGTTGATGTATTAAGAACTTTCAAGACTAAGTGCTTAATGATTAAGTCCATGTCATGATTTGCCTCCATTGGACTTAGGGTTTAAGATCTTGATCTCTTGGAGACTCTTGAGAGATAAAGTTGGAAACTTTATCTATTTAGACCATAGAAAGGACCATATCTAAGCTTTGGAGCTCTTGGAATCGAAGGAAATAGCTTAACCCATTATGCTGTTAAGAACCCAGTGCCCACGACGCGACCCTAGGATGCCACGGCGTGACGACTGGGGAATCAACGTCTGTTTTTGTCATTTGTGGGCCACGACGTGGTCAAGGATGGCCACCACATGACATTTTACTAAAGTCAACTTCGACCGTTGACCTTTTTACTTGAGTTGACTTTTGGTTAAACTCATAGTTTTGGAATTTGGGCTAAGGGTTTACCTTGTGTGACTATATAGGTGGTGTATAGCATCAATATTTTTGGCAGTGAGAGTAGTAGCAGTTGATTATCGTCTGAGAGGTGAGTCATCTCACTGTACTTGTGGGTCGAAGGCACCAATATCGGCATACTAAATTATATTATGTATGATGCTATTTGTCATTGTGATACTTGTATGGAAGACCCCGGGGGTAGCTCGTGACACTTGTATGAAAGACCATGGGGGTAGTCCATGTCACTTGTGTGTAAGACCTTGGGGTAGCCAAGGCACTGCAAGGGAAGACCATGGGGGTAACCCATGGTAATGACATGAAATACCATGAGAGTAGCCCATGACACTTGTATGCAAGACCATAGGGGTATCCCATGGCAATGTATGTATGGTATGTGGTATTTTGGGAAAACTCACTAAGCTTTGTGCTTACGGTTTTGTGGTTTAACATTTTCAGGTACTTCCAGCTCGAAAGGGAAGGCCCGGCGTGATGGCACAACATCCCCCTCATGATTCCGCATTATTTGATACATTGTATTATGATTGATTTTGAGACACCTGATGTATGGATTTGATGATTTTAAAATGAAAATTTTTATCACTATTTTTGGGACATTACACAACATAATGTTTTTTTGAGAAAATTTATACACTATGCCACCACCCTTGAATCTATTGAGACATCTCATCCATACAAATCGTATTATAACTTAGTTTTGTATTCAAACTCAAAATTTACTAATTTAGACTACTTGTATAAGCTCTCGTCGATACAATTCATTATCATGTTTTTATAGATTAAAAAAAAATGCATTATGTACTTGAAAAGGTTTAGTCTTATTTGACTTTATTTACTTTATTTCATCGTCTTCATCTTAATTTAATGTAACATCCCAAAAATCACGACCAAAATTTTCATTTTTAAATTAAGTAAAAACATTGTTTCCAGGAAAAACCAAGTGAAGAAACCTTGAGTATCAAAATACAGTCATTCCAGAAATCAGAGTATCACAAAATGCAGAATCATGAAAACTATCGATGAGATTGTACAGTCAAGTCTTCGCCTTCCCACGATCATATGAAGTACTTGAAGCACATTGAAATCCACAACTGTAAGCGCGAAGCTTAGTGATTTTCCCAAAATATCAATGCATCACATCATAATAAACACTTGTGGGTTATCAACAACCCTGAGACTATCAACAGTCCTATGGGCTTACACCAGCCCTACGGGTTATCAACAACCATGTGGACTATCAACAGTCCTAGAGTTATCAACAACTCAATAAACATACATAACAACAATTAGCAAATAAGACTCAACTAGTCTAACATGCACCCTACTATGACATAGGTAACACAACAACTCTCGAATAGAGGAGACCGATACTATGAGACACCTAAACACAATATATAAGTACCCTCTTAACCTACACCCTAAAAACCCTAAAACCCTTAAGTTGATCAAAGTCAACAATGGTAAAAAAGTCAACGGTCAAAGTCAGCCCTAACTAGATGGATGTTACATTTAAAATTTTACATTTTTCTTAAAATCAAAAACGTCAAATTGAACGAAATATATTTCCTTTGTATTCTATACTTTCTTTAAACCCTCTCTCAACTAAATACCTTAATCGAAATCATTATCTTTTATTTCTCAATCTATAACGTCCTATTTCCATAAGGTTTTATTTCTTTATAATCTCACACTTTTAGAAAATATATTTAGATTTTTAATTGAGAAAATTCAGTAAATGACCAAAAAAGAAGGGTCATTTGAAAATAATAACCATGAAAAAACTGATTTCGGAATCTGACCATAGGATTCGTAGAGCATCCTCTGCGGATCGAGTAAGCCCTCTGAGGAAACGGAACACCTCTGCGGATCTTGGGTTTTTTAATTTTTTTTTCGTTTTTTTTATTTTTGTTTTCGTTTATTAATATTATTTTTTTAATACACTAATACCTTATGTGATTATTATGTAAAAAATTGACAAAAAAAGGTTAAAAATAATGAACTTATGTTTAATATCAGTCCACAGAACTGTTTGGGAATCCACAAAACTGTTATCAACGGATCAGTGTACACCTCTACGGATCAGTGTATAAATTGTCATACTAGTTAAATATTGTATCATCTCACCCTGATATTGAAAAATATAGAAATGGCCTCCAATGCACCAACTTCTATGAATGCAACACCGTCGTCCGATACTCCACGTCCATGGACGACAAGAGAGGTGATGGTTATAATACGATGTTGGTTGAACATTTTTGAAGGTGTAACAAAAATGGTTACCCCTGATTACCTTGGAGGTGATGAATGGATCCGCATAACATGTATGTTCAACCTCACATTTGGACAAGGAGAATATCGGGTACAAGTAGATATTCTTAGTAAGTGGATGGAGTTAAAGAACGAAATCACATGGTTCAATCGATGGTATCATCATCTTAAAAATAGTAGTAATTATTATTACTCAAACGAGGAAGCTCTTGTAGAAATGATTTTAGATCATTACATTTTCGAGCATGAGGGAAAAGACTTCGAGTATGTGGACGCTTGGAATCTGGTTAAGAACCACCAGTATTTCATGTAGAAGGGTTTTTTTATGTGAAATGTTTTATGTAATATGTTTGCTACAGATGTACGTTTTCCATGTATTTGTACTGTTTTGTATTTTATGCTCTATGGAATAAAGTAGAAGTTAACTTAACTTGTTTCGTAAATAACCAAATACATATAAATAACGTAATACAAACCGGTGCATATAAATAACCTAATAAAAACAAACTACATTAAAATATCCTTCTACAAATGCAATACAAATTAAAAACACAGGAGATCTTTTAAGAGATTTCAAGGGCCTTCAAACTCGAATTCTAACCCGTGACTAATGGATATGCATTCCGCTTTCGCCGCGTCCATGATGACTTCCTCATCTTCATTCGGACGTGTGTCATCAATTTTGGTATAATGATTGTTGAAAACCAAGACTTCTGTTTTTAATTCATACCATTTTGCTGTGATGTCAACGGTGTTGCGATAGTTTTCTGGGGCAGTTTGAGGGTCAGCGTTGAAGGCATAGGTTAAACGGGTCCAATAACTTGGATCATTCACCTTGGTGGTCTCGTGGATATTAATATATGCACGAGTTAGACGGAAGTTATCCTCAACGCTCCATGGTATGGAAGCGATTATGAGGGAAAATATGAGGGTTAATTTTTCAAAAAAATGAAATGAAGAAGAAATGGTATAGAATCGATGAAAGGATACGCATGGTAAAGTGATTTTATATTACTTATTTCGCAAAACTATTTGGGAATCCTCATAACTGTTACGGAATCCGCAGAGTTGTTTGGTAATCCACAGAGCTGTTCGTTAGTCCTTTTTCTTATTTAATTACCCGTTTTAAAAAGCTGTGTGTTTAATAAAAATTATACAAATATTCATGTTTTTTATAAAATTACACACACCGGTATTCTGAATAATAAACATCCTTTAAGTATGTTACAAAACATACTTTAGAAAAAATAAACATACAACCTTCATAATAAACATACTTTGAAATAAACTTCATTCATTCAAATCGAACCACATAAACTTTGATCTGTTTTCGTATTCCGACCATGGGTTTTCTGTTGCTTGTGTCCCTAGGTTTACTGTCGCTTGCGTCCATTGGTTATCTGGCTCTTGTTGCCATTGGTACTCGATGCAACCCTGCCATTGGTTCTGTGGCTCTTCCTGCGGTTGGTATTCGGTCCCTTGCGTCCATTGGTTCTGTGGCTCCTGCTGCCATTGATGTTCGGTCTGTTGTGTCCATTGGTTGTCTGGCTGCTGCTGCCATTGATGTTCGGTCTGTTGTGTCTATTGGTTGTCTGGCTACTGTTGCCGTTGTTGTTCGGTATGTTGCGTCCATTGGTTCTCTGGCTCAGGCTGCAATTGGTTTTTGGTTGCTTGCATCGGTTCCTCTTCTGTTGCTTTTGCCCCACTTCCTGACGCCAGTACATTTTTTACTTTTACTTTGGTTCTTTGGAACTTACACGTCCTTGCATTATGAGTTGTGCTATGGCATCTACTACACCATCTTATTTTTGGTTCCTCACCTTGAGAAGGAATACGATTGGTGTTTTTCGGTCTACCAGCTTGACGTATTTCCATTACAGGAGGGTTAACAACCATAAGGTCATCCAGAACCTCCCAATCACTAAGTTTTGAAAGAGGGTATACGGCCTGCTCGTACATTCTTCGATATGTTTCAATTTTATAAGCATCTATAGCCATATGCCCTCAGTGATCATTTTTTAAGTGCGTTAAAACCATTATCACATGACCACATGGCAAACCAGTTAGTTTCCAATATTTACAAGAACAAGTCTTTTCCCTCAAATTCACTAGGCCGCCACTTTTGAAGTCATGCACTGGATATGTTGTATTGTCAACACCGGATACCGACCATCCTTGAATCCCCTCTTTATTATTTTAACCATATCTTCAGCTCACTTCGTAAGTATTGTTGTACTTTTTTCTGTTAAAACAAACATATATTATTATATATGACATTCATCATATAATTTAAAATTAAACATAATCATACCTGCAGCCATCCGCCATTTGTAAAACCATTTCTGCATAAGTGCGCGAAAGAACTCAAGAAGTGGTAATATAGGCAACTTCCTTGCTTTATTTGATACAACATTCATGGACCCCTCACTATTTGAGGTCATATAATCATACCTCATGGTAGGGCAATACGCTCTGGTCCATTTCTCACGTGGAATTTGACTGAGATATGTCGCTACATCATCTCTTATATTACGAAGTCTCCCCTAATAAAATTCAAACTCACTGGTTTTGTAAGCTCTTACCAGCTTCCAAAACAAAATTGTTGTTTTTTTGTTTTTTCCAAAGGTGTGGACTATGTTTCCTATTAGATAAAAACCACACAATCCATGTTGAGCATTTGGAAAAACATTTTTAATACTTACAATAATTGCGGGTGCCCTATCTGTGATCATTGTCAGACCTTCCACATCACCAATGCATTCATGTAGTTTTTCAAGAAACCATGTCCAATAATCCATAGTCTCTTTTGGGCAAATTCCATACCCAATAGGCAAGATCTGATTGCTGTCATCCGTGGCTACTGCATGCAAGATGGTTGTAACACCCGGAAACCAGAAGGTTAATTAAGGAAAGATAATAAGCAAATTGGAGGTCTACTCGTCGAGTCCTTGGGGAATAACTCGACGAGTAAGAACTTGTTTTTGGACGCGGGTAGAGAGACCTACTCGACGAGCTGGGGAGGACCAACTCGACGAGTTGGTATGGGTTTAGGAAACCCTGGATTCGGGGTTTTGCACCCTATTTAAGCATCTTAATCTTCACTTCAGGGCCTCATTTCCAGCCTCCATTGTCCAAACCCTAGATCTCGAAACCCTAATGCTTGTGAGCCATTTTTGAGTGAACCTTGTGTGATTTGAAGCTTGTAGAAGAAGAAGAAGCTAGAGGAATCCAATAGGAGATTGTGGATCCAGAAGCAAGATCTTATCATCATCCTTTTCTGGTAATAAAGCCTCTAACTTTCCTAGTAGTCTCTTAGATCTCCTTATGTTCACTTTATGAGGGTTTTGGTCCAAGAAGCTTAGTCCTTGGGGAATAGACGTCCCAAGTGACTTACCTTTCAGATCTGAGGTTTAGAAGGGGTTTCATGGAATAAAGGTGTAAACGTTATGGCCATGGAAGCCCCATGCAAGCTTTAAGATGTTGTTATGGCCTTTTAAGCCCCAAAAGGCCATGCATGGAAGGAAAGCCTGAGACTTTACGCATTCATTTGGTGTCCAGGGCCTAGATCTCAGTTTGCATGCTTTGGTGTGGAGTATTATGGTTTTTGGACAAGGAGCTATGTCCTAAAGAACTAGGGTTTTAGCTAAACCCATTAAGAAGGACTATTAGTGGGTAAAGTTGGAAACTTTACCCTTAAAAGAGCATTTCCAGTATGTAGTTGAAGCATGAAGCTTGGATCTGAAGAATAGGGGCTTAACCCTTTAAGATAGCCCAATCAGACAGAGGGACTCGTCGAGTCCAGAGAGGGACTCGACGAGTTGAGTCGTGATGTCCCGTTTCTGTTTATAGTAGAACTCGACGAGTCTGAGGATGACTTGACGAGTTGATTCGCCAAATCGCGACTATGAGTAGCCAGGGAATTCGGCGAGTCAGGGGGGTGACTGTACGAGTTAGATCGCGATTCCAGGATTCTGATTTATAGAACTCGACGAGTTGATGGAGCAACTCGGCGAGTCGAGTCAACTCGGGGTGTTGACTCTGAATTTGACCAAGCATTGACTTTGACCAGAATGTTGACTTTGACCAGGGGTAAAATGGTCATTTTACCCTAAGAAGGAGTATCATTTTTGACTAAGGATTATGTTGGTAATGATAGCTCAGGGAGTCGAGAGATCAGCAGTTCGGGGATCTGCCAGCTAGCAGCAAGAGGATTATTCGCAGGTTTCAGCAGTCAGCTTGTGAGGTGAGTTTTCTCCAGTAGGAGCAGGTCTAAGGCACCAATGCCGGCCCATTTATGTATGTTAGTATATTCCAAATTAGATCCGATGCTGGGGATAGCCCGATGTAGTTTATACGATTCCGAATTTCGTTCCAATGCCGGGCGAGGCCCGAGGAAGGTAGTATGTATGTTTCCGAACTACGGTTCGATGTCGGGTGGTAACCGAGGAAGGAATGCATGTTTAGTTATACTTGTTGTCTTTGTGATACTTGTATGTGCCTGGTAGGGAGGTGAGTGTGGGCGGGGGCCCGTATCTCATCACTAGCTGAGTGTGGACGGGGTTCCATATCTCATTATTAGCAGAGTAGGGCGGGGCCTCGAGACTAGCAGTTATAGTGTAGTGTTTGATTGTTATGTACTAGCATGATTATATGTGTATAGCAGGCGGGGCCCAGAGACAGGCGGGGCCTAGTAGAAACAGATCTGTATACCGAGCGGGGCTCGATGCCAGGCGGGGCCTGATGTCGAATTCGTCCAATGCCGGGCGGGGCCTGATATAGCGGGCTAGGCCCAATGTATGTGGTTATGTGATTATGTGTATGGTATGTGGTAGTTTGGGGAGACTCACTAAGCTTCGTGCTTATAGTTTTCAGTTTTGGTTTCAGGTACTTCTAGTAGTAGAGGGAAGAGCTCGGGATGACTGCATTGCACACACCATGATGATTTAGCATGGGGTGTTTACTCTGATGTTTTGAAATACTTTGACTTATATTTGATGAAATGTTTGATAACTATGGTTTATTAAATGGTTTAAAACGAAATTTTTGGACTGTATTTTTGGGATGTTACAATGGGGCCTTTGTACATTCCCTTCAAATGAACACCATCCATAGTAATAACTTTTCTACAACACTCTCTGAAAGCACGTATCTGCAACAACAATATAAAAACCATTAATATATCAACAATATAATTTGTTTATAAACATTTAAGAAAATAACAAATATATTTAAAAATATATTACCGCGTATCCAGTTGCGAAAAAAGCAATACTCAAAACGATCCTCCGAATCAGTTTTTATATACGCCACAGTACCAGGATTATGTTTCTTCAGATTGTGAAAATAAACTGGAAGTTTGGAGAAACTTTCTTCGGGGGTCCCTATCATCAATCCCAAAGCAAATTCTCTAGCATGTCACGCTTGTGAATAACTCATATTTATTTGTAGCAAAGCATTCATATCTCTAATTATATCATTAGGCTTCCAAACTCTCAAACTTCCTTGACCCATAATGTCATGTATTATGGTTCCCACAACTTCTCTATTTGCTTGCCTATGATTTGGGTGTATAAGCAATGAACAACATGTATGCTCGTCATTAAACGTCTTAATGTCAAACATTTATGTTCCTTTAATGAGAGATGCGTATAAACGCCAATGACAGTTTTCTTGCATACAAACAACCTGGTACCGAGATTTTGAAGATTTTTCAACCTTTATCTGAAACTTTTCTCTAACGGCTTTGAATTTAACAACAAATGCGAGGTCTTTTTTGGTGTTATAGGTTTGATTGACAATTAATTTATCATTCAGACCTAAACTGTGAAATGGTCCTGGTTCAAGAATAGGTTCTGGACAATCAGGAATAGAAGGAATACAATACCATGGATTAAAAGCAGTTTTTCGTTGCGTGTACTCATCATCCGACCACCCTTCATTTGATTTTTCCTCACATCTTCGATCATCAGTTTCAGGAACTTCTCCAAACTCGAAAAAATTTTGACGTTGTAGTTCAGTCATGCCCACTTTTGCTTCTTTATCATTACTTGATACAAAAGTATCATTATCAGATACAAATTTATCAGTAACCGAAACTTTTTTTCATAACCCACTGGCACTTCATTTCCTCTTCCCCTTGAACGGTTTCCATCACATTAGCTTTCTCTATGACCTCCATTAGTTTTTGCTGGATTAAACTAGTTGTTAACCACTGCTTGTTCTTCAGCTTCTTCACCTACCACCGTTAAATACAAATGCACCGTCTTCTTTGATTCAGACATTACATGTCTCAATTGATATACATCAGTTTCATCTCCAAGCTCCATGACATACCCTAACTTCG